TGAGGGTGGGAAAGATACTCAGGCCCTGTGGTTGGACACACTCATTCTACTCCCACCTCCGCGCTGCACTCGCTCTGTGGCCTTGGGAAAACACCACCACCTCTCCGGGCCTAAGAGGAAATAATGCCCCCGCTTCCCAGCTCTGAGCAGTGGCACTAAGACCACCACATTGCTCAGCTCGGAGCCATGGCAACGCTCCTCAGGGTCCCTGCAGCCCTCCCCACATGCCATCCACCTGCCAAACACTCGTCCGCATGCAGCAGCCCGGCTAAGCTGAGCCCTTGGGGCAGCCAGGCAGGGGGCTCTGGAAGACTCCAGCTCTGTGCAGCTGTGCCGCCCAGGAGTCGTGACCCGCCCTCTCCAAGCTGCGGTCTCCCTCCTGCTCTGCGGAGTCGGTGAACACAGGAGAGGCGCCTGCTCACGGCTGGCCCACCAACTCTATCAGTGCCCCACTTGGAGATGCCGGCGTGGCCTAGGCACACCAGGCTGCTGAGAAACAGGTCTTTCCAATTGCTAGTTCATGCTTGCACAAGCATTTACTGAGCACCTACTGTGTGCTATTCCTGTGCTGGGCCCCCAGAGACACAAAGACAAAGGTAATGTGGGGGTAAGTGCACAAGGAGCCCGATGCTGAAACAAACATCCACAGGCCACAAGATTTCACATTAGTCCGCAGGCCTCCCTGTGCCCTGCCCCGATGCCAGGCCCCGAGCACAGGGCGGGCCTCCAGACAGCAGCATGGAACTGAGCCTTGAGTGGGCGCAGGGGGTCGCCAGGTGGGTCTGGCACCCGGCCACTCTGGACAGAGGGGCAGGCAGGCTCAGGCGGCCAAGAAGTCAGCCCAGCAGGTTGACCAGAGGCTTGAAAGACGATCAGGTCAAACCGCAAGGAGCCGCGACCACAAAGTGAGAGGCGGCCTGACAGGGAGAGGACTGTCAGCCAGGAGTGACAGGCCAGAGCGACAGGCAGCACGAGGAGCCGGCACAGTAAGAGTGAACTAAGAGGCCAGGCTGAGGGCTGCAGACGCACTGGAACATCCCCCCCGTCAGCGCAGACTTCCTGGACCCTGGGCCAGGAAGAATGGACTCTCTGCCTCCCCAGCCCGCCAGCCCCCGCTCATTAGCACCTTGGCTGTGGGGGAGGCATCGGGGGCGGAGGGCAGGCCCAGGGAACGAAGCCAGCTCCTCATTAGCGCTGCTCCTAGGAGCCAGTGCAGGGAGGGCAGCCCAGCCCAGGAAGGAGGCTGTCGTGCTGTGCCGTCTTAATGTGAGGAGAGATTGATGCCGGGCTTCTGGCTCAGAAACATGGCCCTCTCCAAATACTCAGCTGGAATGGATTATGATCCTGGTGGAGGGCGGCCAAAGGCAGCCGGCCGGGGGGAGCAGGGTCGCACCCCTGCTTTGCCCTTGCTGCTCTGTCCAGCACCGATTCCCTGAGCAGAACCTTGATGCCCTCCACGCCGGTATGCCTGCCCCCCTCTTCCCAGCTGACACCCCACCCTCCTCCTTCACCACCACCCTGCACCCCAAGGTCCGGCTTGCTAGCCAGTGCAGGCTCAGTCTGCACCCCTCAGACCACACCCAGGGTCTGGCTCGGGCACTGGAAGGACAAACAGGATGAGCAGACAGGTGTCCGAGCATGACCCCTGACCCAGGGCCCTGAAAACGCTGGACTCAACAACTGGAAAACCTCCCACAGGTCAGGAGGGCCAGCCACGGCCCAAGGGGACCCAGCCTACGTCACCTGTCAGCCATTCCAGGAAGGAGAATTCCCAGTTCCCCCGGCCTCCCCTCTCCGTGAGAAACGGCACACCAGGACACTTGGGTCCCTTAAGCCTTCAGACCTCTGCCCAGCTCTCCTTTGGAATGTCAGTCAGCCCAATATGGAGGGAAGTCCAGGATAAATCTTCATCAGTACAATCTTCACCATCATGAATGGTGTCCCCTAGCTCACAGAGCTCCTTTTGGCGTGTCAGCGTCTTGCAGTCTGGTCCTCCCCGCAGCAGCAGAGCAGGCACGCTGGGCGGGCGGGGCAGCCGAGCGGTCAGCGGGTTCTGGCGCTGGGTTCAAGTCCTGGCCAGTCCCTACAGGCCTGTGACTCCGGGTAAGATGCTCAGCCCTGGGAAGTCTCCTGATCTGAGGAATACAAGGACCTGGCAGATAGCAGCGGTTAAGAAACAGCAGCAACTATTCTGGTGATGATACCAAGACGGCGACGATGGTCAGTTCTCGTACTCCCGCTGGGGCACTCAAAACCAGGCCACGTCTCGCCGTCCGGCCAGAGCGAGCTCTCTGGAGCAGGAGGCAGTGGCAAGGCTGTTGAACAGTCGCTCAGAAGAGGGGCAGCTCCACCTGCCCTGGGGCTGCCAGAGCATCCCCCGGGCACTCCCCAACACCCACAGCCCCTTCTCGTGCCTTGGGGACCCTCCCTGCAGCCCCCGGCAATGTCTCCAAAAGGCCCTGAGCTTCAGTGTCCCTGTCTCTGAGACGGTGTTGATACCACCACCTCCCAGGTGGCCGCAGGGTCAAAAAGGGCAGGGCCAGGGAGGGACTAATGAGGGCCATCGGTCAGGACCCTACGGCTAAGATGCTGCAATGCCCTCGGACTTCGCTATTTCCGTACCCGGAGGCTAACACAAATCAGGGCTGGTCCTGGGCCTGCTCTCGGGGGTTTCGAAACCCGAGGCAGCCAACAAGACAAGCTTCCATCGATCCAGTTCAAGAAAGAACAAGCTTACTAGGCTGGAGCTCCAGGCCAGGGCTCGCAGGATCAGCCTGACTGTCCAGCTCTGCTCTCGTGTCCACCTGGGGGAGGGCTAGTCTCCCCAACACGCGGGAGCCCAGACTACTGGAATAATAAGCAGCCTGCCGCCAGGCCCAGGAAAAGCCCAGCTTGCCCGGCCAGCCATCATCCCACCGAGGGGGTCTACAGCACTGCTGCCACCACCACAGACCCAGCCACACAATACCCAGCCACAGGCCGACAGCCAGGCCCTGCGGGCTGGGGAAGATGCCAGCAGCAGGCTCCGGCACAGGCCCTGGGGGCCACCAGGCCCAGACCCCTGGTCCTTGCTCCCTGTGGCCATGCCTCCTATCCTCTTCAGGCGAACCTCTGCACGGCTCATGCTGGCCCTTGCCTGCTCAGGACTGAAGTCCAGGCCTCACTTGCCTCCCCAGGCCCCCAGAGCCTGGCTCCAGTCTGACCAGTCTGTGGGGAGCCCTGCACCGCTGTGCCTTCCCTCAGGTTCCCCACTGCCTGGCACGCCTCCTTCCCATGCTCAGGCTTCAGACTCAGCTCAGGCCTCACCCACATCCAGGACCCCTTCCCAGATAGCTACCAGGACCCCCAGCCCCACGCACAGCCTACAAGAGCACGTGCAGCCCACCAGCGGCCTCGAGTCCGATCGAGGCCTACCCAAGCCTGGGGTGGACCCACAAGCGGGGAAGGGCTCCGTCTGGCACGGTCTGGGCTTGAAGCTAGGCGGAGAATCATCTTCCCTCACGCCCGGCCTGGCCCTCAGCAGGCCTCAGGCTGATGGGACAAACCGCAGCCGAGATAAGGCTGGCAGAAGGGCTGCGACGGGTTTCAAGCACAGCCCTGGACTGCAGGCAGGCCCCTCAGAAGCAAGGGCGCCGGGAGGCGGCATGACCGTGCCCACGTGCTCTGCCGGCTCGGGCACCTCCAGAGCACCTGGCTTGGCTTGTCGGCGGGTCCTGTCTTCTCCACCAGGGCCTGGGCAAGACAACTCCCTTCCTCCGGCAGGTTCCGCTGGCTCCGGGAGCAGTGCTAACAGGAAGCGTGGTGGAGTACACAGGTTTGGGTCAGCTGTGTCACAACCCCCCTCACTTCTTCAACCAAAAGCCACCAGGCACCCACCAGATCAGGGCCCGGGCACAGCTGGGCGATCAGAGCTGCGGCTCCCAAGCGGTGGGGCAGCCGACGGGGCGACGGCTGTGCCTCTGCCATGGAGTACCAGCCTGGGCACAGGAGCCTTCTCTCGGCCCCAAGCTCATCCCCTAAACAATGGGAATAAGAACCCCCTCGCCTGCCTCAAAGCACCCGAATGGGACAAGGACGTTCGAGTAGAGTGCAAGAATGAATACTGCACACCCGCAGGGGACGTCCCCGGACAGGACAGGACAGGCCCACTCGTTCTTTCCTTCTTCCTTTTAGTCTTTTGTCACCCACTCCTCCATTCGTGGGTCGGCAAATACTGAGGAGCCAGGCAGTGCTGGGCACTCTGGCAGAAAACAGCCGAGTCCCAGAGGAGGCCCAACTCGCGGCACCAGGGAGGCCACACAGCCGACGTCGACAATCAGATGTTGAAGAACAGGATGAATTACAGCTGGACTCAGCCACGCAGCGTGAATTCCACTTGGAGCAAACGATGCCATCACAGCAAGGCCAGCAGCCACCGATACCCCGCGTGCAGCAGGGAACAACGCTCAGTCCTGGCCGGCTGCTCAGGTATCCCACCCACTGGGCAGAGCAACAAGGTGCCGACAACCTTGGGCGCAACCACACTTCTGGGTGCAGACGGACGGCTGGAGATGCAGAACTTGGCGGTTCAGGGACTCAGGGCAGGCTCACCTTTCTGGGCCTTGACCCCCTCACCTGTAATACGGGGAGATTAATAGGCCCCCCCAGGGCCGCTGAGAGGACGAACTGAGTCACTGACGTAAGTCGCTCAGGGAAGAGCCGGTACCCCGGGAGTGCTGTGGGGTGTGGCAGGCTGGTTCGTGTCATCATGCCCAGTTCACCCGCCCGGGCTCTCTGGCCAGCCACCCCTCGCCTTGCTACCTGGCCCAGCTCAAACCCCACTACCTGGGAAGGCCTCCCTTCTTCAGGACCCTATGGCACGAATGCAGTCCTTGCCATTGACGGCTCAGTACCCCCTGGTCACGGTTTGTGTCCTCCCCCCCAGCCAGGTGAGTCCCAGCTCCCTGCTTCGAGCCACCCCGCATCGTGAATAGAGCCCTTGCCTCAGCCGTGTTTCTCACCATGGCCTCTCCGCCGGCATGCGTGTCCAGTCTGCTCACTCACACAATCGGCTGGGGGTCTAGCGAGCTCTACATGCCAGGCTGGGCACTCAAGATCCAAAGGTGACCAAGATGGGGGTCCCCACACTCTGGGCCTCTCAGCCGTGTGTGGGAGGCAAACACAGACACAGGTCATCTCAGCGAGACACAGAAAGGCAAGGTGAGCACCAGGTGCTGCGGGCCATGGGCGTAATTGCAGGTGAGCCCCACCCAGGGGAGGCGGGGAACGGGAAGGCTGCCAAAGGGACGTCGGGAGTACAAGAGCATCCCAAGTAGAAAGCCTGGCATCAACCCTCTGGTACTGGTGACAAAGACACGGGATGTGCAGGAAACAAGGACTTCTGCAGTGTTGGGGCACAGGAAGCAAGCTGTGGAAGACGCAGCTGGAGCAGTGGGCAGGAATCAGATGCCAACCTTCACGCAGAAGGAAGGGGGTGCCTGTGCCTCAGCACCCACCTCAAGTCCTCTAGAGCGCCCAGGGAAGGTTGCCTAGACAGTCAGGGCGGCCAGGCCAACAGAGGAGGAGAGGAATGTGGAGGTGACCCAGCTAACACACCCCCTCCTCTAGAAAGCCTTCTGAGATTGCCAGTCTCCCACAGCCATTTGCAGTCACAACGTGGCTCCTGAACCGACACGGACAGGACAGACCTTTCCTGTGCTAGATTCCTACAACGGATGAGGTTGAACCACGTGAAATCCCTGTTTCAACAGGTGAAACCCTCCAATGCTAACAAACTTCACCTGCATCTTTGACCCTGAGACTGTGCCCACACTGGGGGTGCAGTGAGGAACCACCCCAATCCCTGCCTCGCAGAGACTACAGAAAGTACACAAGCCAACGAGTGGCAGTGACAGAACATGAAATGCCGAAAAGGGAAGGAGACCGCGCCCGAGACAGGACACTGGTGGGAGCGGAGCTGGGGAGAGTGAGCCGAGAGCCCGGAGGAGGCCCCCCAGGAGCTAAGGGCAGGGCAGGCAGCGAGCCCGGCGGGGCTGGGACGGCAGCGGGCCCATCTCGCCCAGCAGCCCGGCCCACGGAACTTTCTACCACGACGGCAGCGGTCCCGGCCTGTGTCACGCCGTGGCTGGCGGCCACCACGCTGGACGGCTCGCACAGGGCCCCAGACCCGAGGTTCCCCACAGGCGGCCCCTGAAGGGCTTCCGCGGGGGCAGCACCGCCCAGGGTCACCTGCAGCTCCCGGCCCGACGGCCCCAGCCCTCGGAACCAGGAGGCCCCTCAAGCCAAACTCGGAGGAAGGGCAGGCAGGCGCGCAGGGAAGCCCGCGGGTCCGCTTCCCCGACGGTGTCTCCCACTCGCCCGGGCCGGGGACCAACCCCTGGGCCCGGCAGGGGGGGCACCGGGGAATCAGGGCAGCCGCGACCCCCGCCCGGGACCCCCGGCGCTCAGCCCAGCCGCGGGGGCACCGGGCGCATGCGCCCTCGGGCTGGGGGGGGGGTTCCCCGCGGCGGGGCGCCCTCGGGGGCGGAGCCGGAGCGCCCCCACCACGGCCCGCCCCGCCCCCTCCTCCCCAGGCGGCCCCGCCCCGCCGGCCCCGCCCCCGCCGCCCCTCGAGCCCCTTGCTCCCCCGGCCTCGGGCGGCGCGCCCCTACCCCGGCCGGCGCGCCTCGCCCCGCCGCCCCCGCCGGCTCACCTGGGCCTGGGCTCGCGGCCGCGCTCCGTGCGCTCTCGGCGGGAGGGGCGGTGCGGGGGGCGGAGCCGGCGCCCAAACGTCACGTGACGGCCCCGCCCGCGCCGGGCCAGCGCCGCGAGGCCGCGCTCCGCCCGTTCCGTCAGCCCCGGCGCCTCGCGCCAGCCAATGGCTGCCCGAGCCGGGGCGCGGGGCAGACGGCTTGCGCCCGAGGACTACAAATCCCAGGGTGCCCCGCGCGGGCAGCCGGAAATGGCCTGGGACGGCGGCCGGCTGGGTCACAAAGTCCTGTCCTGGAGGCGTCGGGCCAGGGCTCAGGGACCCTATGGCCACCAAGGGCCCCGAGGGGTGCGCGGCCCCGGTCTCTGGGGCTGCGCCGAGCCGGTCCCGCCACCTTCCCTGGCCCTGTGAGATGGCCGGCTCAGTCCCCCCCTCCAGCCCCAGTCTCTCCACCTGTAGAACAGGGTGACGATGGAGGGGAGCTTGGACAAGGAGTGAGCAGCGCCCGGCCTCAGGCGCTCCAGGCTGGACCCGCCTCGGCGGATCCCAGGCGCAGGGCCCGAGGAGGGCAGCGGGGAGGAGCGCCGGGGCTGTGCGGGGGCTCGCTGGTGGCCGCTGCCCGGGGCAAGGACCGGGAGGCCTGATGCCCGCGCTCCGTGCCCTCTGGCCAGGACTCAGAGGGCCCCCTGATCGCTTCAGGCGACCAGGCCTGCAGAGGCCTGCTGAGCCCCTGCAGACCCCAACACCTGGTCAGCGGCTGGAGGGGTGTCTAGGGGATTGTCACCCGCACACCCAAACATTTCCATGGAGGGGCTGAGCCAGCCAGCCTCTAGTCAGCCAGGGTTCCCAGAGCAGGCCTGGCTCCTGCCGTTTATGACATCATGAGAGCTTAAGTCTTTGCACAAGTGTGTATGCACGTGCATGAGGTTCGAGTGTGAACAAGTGCTGTGGGGATTGCATGCACACATGCATGCACGTGGACATGCGTGTGCATGCATGTATGTGTGCTTGGATGTGCACATGAGAATGATGGTGTGTGGTGCAAATGTGGGGGGGGTGGGCAGGAAGGAAGACTGGCCACAAGGGGGCCAGAGGGCCTTTGCACACATCAGCCTCCCCTCCTCTACTTGAGTCTCACCATGACCCTGGCCCGTGGCCTGTGCCCACTTCACAGGCACGCAGGGTTTGGACAGGGCTTCTCACCCTACCCCCAGGACAGCCCAGAGCAAGGGAAGCCAGCTGCTGCCCCATGCCGGCAGCTGCTGACCGCAGCCCAGTGGTGTCAGGGGAGGGGGCACGAGGACAAATGCCTGCCCGAGAACTGGGGCAGCCAGGTCTGTGGGTGCTCGGGCCACCAGCTCACTCTCAGCCCAGTGATGGGGTGTGGAAGGAAGGAGGGAAGAGTGAGGTCCACTTTCCAGGACGAGCACCTCCAGGAATGTTCTGCGCCCATACAATGGAGGTAGGGAGGGAACAGTCTAGCATGAACAGGGGCCCACCCAGAAGAGGTGCTGAGTACCTGTCACTTCCTCCCAAATTCCATCTAGTGCCCCACGGAGAAGCAGGGCAGACAGGCCCCCTCGGTTAGCAGGGAACGTGATGGGGCGGGAGGATGCCGAGACCCCCAGAGGAAGAGCGAGGGAGGAAGTTGTCGCAACCCCCTCGGGGCAACCGCTTGCTCTGCCACATCTTGTCCTCCCTGTGTGCTTGTCGGGGGTCATCACAGAGCCGGGCAGCCCTGGGTCCTCCTCCTCCTGAGAAGGACAACTCCTGGGAAAGTGTGCAGGCCCTGCCATTGTGCCTGCCACACCCCTGCACCCATCTCTGGCCAACAGGGTGAGTGACAGGGATTAGCCCCCAGCGTGGGCTCTTACAGGAGGGGCAGGTGTTGGCTTGTCCTCAGCTGGCAACCCCCCACTTTGGATCTTCCCTTTAGGCCCCAGTGAAGGTGGGGACAACAAGGTTGGGAATGGTCTGAGGGTCTTCAGAAGGAGCCTCCATGCAGCGCCCACTAAAGCAGATCCCAGAAACGCTCACTCTGACGAGAGAAGCAACACAGGCTTCTCGGTGGTCGCTGGACCTCCCGGTCAAACTGAGTCGATGTGGGGGTCTGCAGTGTGTTTCCCTCCCTCCCCGCCTTTCTGTCTGTCCCCGAAGCCTAGGCCCCCTGTCAGCTTCTCTAGGAGACCGTCCGTGCCCACCCAGCCGCTTCCGCTCTGCTCCCCAGAGTGTCATAGCCGCATTCACTCGTCACTGACTCCCTCACCACCCAGTCCTGCCAGCATGTGATGTCACTGCGGCCCGGTCCCCCTTTGTCCCCTGCCAACAGAGCCCCAGTTTTGTTCAAGGCAGCTATGTACCCAGCCTCACTGTGACCATCTTGACAGGGTGATGATGGCAGGAGGCCCCATGAGTCTTCAGGCCCTTTCAGAAGGGCCCGATGTCGCTGGCCAGCCTGTCTTACCGTCGTCCTTCTGCCTTCTCCCCGCTCCAGCCTGGAATGCGGGCAGAGTCCCATGGAGAGCAGCCATCTGGGGAGCAAGGGGTCAGGTCCCAAGCTGAGGATGGGGAGCAGTTGGTTTGTGGGGCCTCTACCCCAACTGCACCCCAGACGCATCATCACGGGAGACCAAGCCCCTCTTCCTTCATGCCGCTGTGGACTCCATTCCCAGCGGATATGAGCCCCAGGGCTCATCAGGACCGACCCATACCCTCTCAGCTGTGTCTGCCCCCAGGACAACAGGCTCCTTGAGGACAGGCCCGTAGGTGTGTTTGCCTCATGGCCCTCAGCAGAGCGCCTGGCCCGTGGTGTGGCCTCGAGAAGTGGTGATAGGGGAGTGAGCACACGAGCTGTACCCGCGGGGGCTTGTTTCTTCAAGTGATGCTGCCCATGTAACCTTGTCTTTGTCCCAACATCAAACCTTCCCACTTTGCTGTGTGGTGTTGATCAGAGACACACCTTCTCTGGGCGTCTTCTCCAAAGTGGCAATGCAGGAGCCGAATAGGGCTGCAGGGCGCTTGTGAGCCCGCCCAAGCACAGGCTTGGGAAGGGGCTGTGCCAGGGGTGGCACGCCGTTGCCTGGTCACCTGTACAGGGGCCACATTACAAGGGGGACACGTGCTGGGAAGGGATCAGCACAGGCCCAGCACATAGCAGGGGTCTAATCAAGGCAAGCGCCTCGTCCCCAACCATTCCAGACCAGTCATGTCACAGCACGAGGCCCTTGGAACACCGACTCCTGCAGGAGACTTGTAACAGCCTCCCAAGATATTTAACGCCAAGCAGGAGTGGCAAAAAAAAAAAAAAAGTGAAGGAAACCCATGACAGGAGCCTTCGGGCGTCATCTTACTAATCGTGTCCTCAGCGCTGCATTTGCCACCTCTCCCGGGAAACGGCACCGTCTGCGCCTCCTCCATCCCCGAGGAGGGGGCTTCTCCACACGCCGGGGAGCACGGGCGGTCTGTTCCACACCCGCCACCCAGGCTTGCGACTTGGCACAGCGTCCCCTCTCCTCTCTTGGCAAATCTTATTCTGTTCACCATCATTTATTCATTCAACAAGCTTTACTTCCAATGTCAGGCAGCATGCTAGGCCTTGGGCATACTGTACAATTAGATCTGGTTGCTAATAACAGAAACCTCAATAAGAGTGGCTTAAACAAGGTCAATGTTTGCTTTTAATGTTACACATTCCAGTCCGGAGAGGCGATGGGGCTAGGAGAGCAGCGTCTCAGTCAGCCGGACCCCGGACCCCTTTAAAGAATCTGGTCGCTCCTCTGATCCTCAAATGAGCCTTCTGCCTCCTGGCGTAAGATGGCTGTGCAAGCTCCAGCCAGCATGTCTGCTTTCTAGTCAGCAGGAAAGACAACTAGACAGTGGAGAGGCCTGTGGGCATACTCTCGCCCCAGTCCCCGCTTTCAAGGACCCTTCTTAAATACTGCACATACCACAGCTGCTTGCACCCCCTTGGCCAGAACTGGGTCCCTTGGGTCCTTCTAGCTGCAAGGGAGGTGAGGAGATGTCTTCATCCTGAGGGCCGTGTCCCCAGCTGCCATCTGGGCTCTTGTACCCAGTAAGGAGGGAGGATGGGGCTCCCCGAGCCGTCTCTGTCTTAGGACACAGCCTTGTCGTCACAGTGCTCACCTCCTAGGGGGCAGGCCATGAGTCACACAAATGTCACGGGCGCCTGAGCAGAGGCCAGGCAGCACAGAACAGGGGTGTGGGGGCCCAGGCGGCCTCTCACCGAGGAGACCAGGAAGTCGAGGGGCAGCGTCTCCGGGAGGTGAGCTGTGAGTGTCCTGCTGGCGGGTGAGGAGGCTGTGGACATTGGCATGGGGCTGTTATACCCTTCTCTGTGGAAGTGTCCTGACCTTCCAGCCACCGCTGGCCTCAGAACCCCACCGCTCAGACCCCCCCCCGTCCGCTCCCCCGTCCGCAGGTGGGGACCCGCCAGGGCAGGGAGGGGCACACGTGGGGTCTGCCACGAGCCGTCTTGAGGCCCTCCTGCTAACCCATCGAGGCACAAGACGGAAGGGGCCTGGACTGAGTCATCTTCTTCTTCAGGGGGTGACGGAGTCTGAGGACAGAGCAAAGCCAGCGCCCTCTGCAGGACTGGGCCTCTGTGCCCTGAACGCCAGGATGGAGAGGCCTCAGCCCGCTCGGAGGGCAGGGCCAGGAGCCGGAGAGGCCGAGGACAGGGGTGCAGGGTGGGCGGGGGGCGCCAGGAGGAAGGTTCCCCAACCCCACGTGG